TTCTGTCCTTTACCAGGTATTCTCTGTGCGGCGGCGTAATCACGCGCTTTCTGGCACACGCCTTTTCCCTATACCCTTCCCTTTCCTCGCTGAAATCAGCTTTGCGCAGAGGCGATAACGTGACCAATGAGGCTTAGCCGAGGTGCGTTTATTGCTGGTTGAAAACTGATACCAATTACCCGTCGCTTTCTGCCCTGAAATATGGGTGTCAGCGCAATTTTTGGAAGGCCCTAGGGGCCAAAAAAAGCATTTCGTTTCGAGAATTGGTGGAATATTTGCTGCAATACAGAATAGTCCAGATTAGAATGTCCAGAAAACTAAAGCAAAAAGCAAATCTCTAAAATAAAAGCACTACCCTTCCCTTTCCTCTGTGCGCAGAGGTGATAACGTGATCAATGAGGCTTAGCCGAGGTGCGTTTATTGCTGGTTTTAAAATTTTAAAACTTTTTAGCTCACAATAAGTTATTCATTTGTCTGTGTCAAATCAGCAATTTGGTCCATTTCACAGCCTTGAGCTAATAAATTTTTTGTGTCTTGAAATCAATTGACATTTGATTGTAAACAAAATGTGTTTGTCTAATTGGACAAGAAAACTCACTCAGAGATTCGAATAAATCTCTAAAATAAAAGTACTTTTTGGCCCCTAGGGCCTTCCAAAAATTGCGCCAACACCCATATTTCAGGGCAGAAAGCGACGGGTAATTGGTATCAGTTTTCAACCAGCAATAAACGCACCTCGGCTAGGCCTCATTGGTCACGTTATCGCCTCTGCGCAAAGCTGATTTCAGCGAGGAAAGGGAAGGGTATACGGGAAGGGCGTGTGCCAGAAAGCGAGTGATTACGCCACCGCACAGAGAGCACCTAGTGACACAAAGACAACACAAAGAGAACTTTTAATGCTCAAAAGCAAAATGATACTCGAACCGTAATATCTACTTACCGCATAACCTGACGCATACCGGCTAAAAATGGGTTTCAATTCAAAAATTTGATATGATTCTTTCTGGAATTTTCTCGATTTCTAGTTTCAGAAGATTCCCATGATTTTGTTGTACGAAAATGTTTCCAATAATCTGCGAAGTAATCGTTTGCGCGGGCAAGAATTGTTGTTTCGTGAGTCAGCGTCATGGGGTCTTGTCATGCTCAATATGCAGAAATCGATTGCAATATTTGCAAAAATCTCCTACATTGTCACCTTTTCATTCAACAAACAGGCAAAATTATGGAATTTCCTCTTGACAGTTTGAAGAGTCTCGCTTCTCGTGGACAGGGAGAATTTCAAGAAAGTAAAAAAAGGAGAACGTGATCGCACTATTAGATTACCATAATTATTCTAATAGAAGCACCCATAATGACAGGGTATTGCCTAACCATAGATGGTATAGTCTAACCATAGATGCCTCGTTCTCCTCGCTACTTAATGCTACAATTTGTGCTTAGGTGTAGAAATAGCCCTTTTAATCTAGCATTTTAATACCAAAAACATAATTGACAATATTTAAATAATTACGGTAACTCATTGCCAATCAAATGCCAGATCTGGTCCACAACGATCATGTCCTTTTGGGTGATTTTCCTTTTGAGTCGCAGCTTTGGAATCGGTATTTATGTAATCATCGATCTACAATTAAGATATTATGTGAAAAGCGCAAATGGGACACCGATTAGGTAAAAGATACATTAAATCAAAAATTAAATGACAAGAATCAATCAAGCGACTTCTTTTAATTGCAGTTATGAAATGATTCAAGTGAATTGGTTTCTCAACACCGATGGAGCTGAAGTGACGAGAAAATTGTAGAGAGTTGGAAATGAAGTGATTTGTGCCTAATTTATAAAGAAGTTGATAGATTGGAAGAGGCATATCCACCGATGGAGCTGAAGGGATCCCTTTCATCGTCCTCTTAACTATTTTCTCTTATATCTTTTTCTTTCTCATTCTTTATATTCAAAATTTCTTCTCGATTAATTTAGATTTACGGAAAAAGATGTTAAGAACGATGATTGCGGCTTGGTTGCAAAATTTTGGTGAATTTTAAGAGGAAATGGTTTATCAGCTTACCCTGAAGCTCAAATTCGTTCCAAAAAGTCTTGTAATAGTTTGAGTAAGTAAGCAAAATCGAAATGTATATTATTTTATGTTTAAAAGCTTACAGCTAGGAAAAGCTATCGAAATGCTAATAAAGTATTGTAGTAATATGTTATATGCGGTTATGATTTATCTGATTCGCTTCTATTCGCCCCCTAAAGCATATATATGTCGTAGCCGATTATGAATTTCAGCCGATTATGAATGAGTGAGTCTAGGAGCGTCCAACCATCAAGTATTTAGTATCATTCAACGCCGAATCATTAATAATTATGTTAAATTTTTAAAATTAGAAAGATTGAATAAAAAGAAAAAAAATTATGGGGCCTCAAAGTTTCCTCTTGAACAAACAGTTTTTTTGCTCTAATTTTTTTTCTTTTTATCAAATCTTTCTAATTTTAAAAATTTAACATAATTATTACTGATTCTGCGTTGAATGATACCAAATACTTGATGGTTGGACGCTCCTCGACCCACTCATTCATAATCGGCTACGGGGGTCCAGCCGATTTTGAATGAAACGTTGTAGCGCCGGTAATTTTTAACCTAAACTCACAAATTTGGTACCAATCGACGCAGAATTTAATTCGCTACAAGATGATATAATATTGTCCTCATACATTAAAGGGTTGCTCTACTAGAAAGATTTGCCAAAAAATTTCATTCATAATCGGCTACGACATATATATGATTTCGTGTAAGAGTTGAAAGTTGTAGTCAATCCTCTCAATGCTCTCAATGCTATATCAATGGAGGAGCTCATCGTTGGGCAAAATGCGGTTCGGACCTTGCTGATCTTGATCTCGGTGCTGTTCGGATCTTTGAATGAAATTTTAAAAGCTCAAAAGCTATTTTTTTTTGTTCATTTCCTATTGAATTCACCACTTCCTATTGAATTGACAACGGCTTTCATTACTTAATTGAAGTGCAAGACTTAGTATGATGGCTTAAAAACTAGAGACTTTTGTCCCGCTTTTTCAAGGGGACTTCCAAAAATTCGTTAATACTCATAATTGTTCGTCTGCACGGAAATCTTTAGTAAAAGGCGAAAGATTTTCTCGGTCAAATGCAGACGAACCAGAGATAGCAAAAGGAGGAAAGGAAGGGGTATAAGGAAAAGGAGTCTGCCAGAAAGAGAGCGATTATGGGTGAGCACAAAGAACACCCGACTGATGGCGATTGGTTCAGATTAGACTCCAAGAAAGAAGACTTCAAGCTGGTAGCTTGGTTATGGTACTTTTCTAAAATGAGTCATTTTAGAGAGTCTCTTGAAAGAACACACTCTGATCTAGGTTTTCAATATAAAATTTGCGAAACTGTCAACATCAATCAAGGGTAAAACGATTAAAACATAACTGAAGTTAAAAAAGGTGTAATTAACTAACTTTTAACTTCAGACAAAAGGTTAAAAAGTTCAAAAATTATCACAGACAAGCTTTTCCCTAAAAAGCACTTAAACCCCTCAATTTCCTGTACCCACAAATAAAAAATAAAGCTTTTTTTTTGATGAGCTTATCGTTGTAGTCTCATCTCAGAAAAAACGAGGAAATTCCGTTTTCTCCATGTCAAATTCTTATGGGAATTCCCATCTAATTACCATTTTCATTTCTAAGTTTTCAAATCTTTATTCTTTTTTGATATTATTTCCTTCTAATGGACACCCTTTCGATTTTCATCGATATTCACATTTTCACCACGATTCCCGTACAAATTTTACTCATAATCGTTCTCTTAAGAAATTCGAAATTTGATCAAGTTTATGAGGCTTGCTTGCTCAATGTTTGTGAGTTTTTTCATTACCTAATGAAGAAGTATATAATGAAAAGACAAAGACAAAGTAGCTTTTTGGGTAGATCGATTTTAAGAAGCTTTTTCAACTGAAAAACAGTTGAACAAGCTGATTAGCTCTGAAGTTTTAGAAGAAGGTTGTAAGCAAGAAGGGTGTAAGAAGCAAAGCTTGAAAGAGACAACTATTATCTAGCGTTGGTTTGGGGCGAAAGTTAACAAAAGTTGAGCTAGTTTTTCAAAGCCCAGCCTAAAGAGCCCAGTTTGTCTAAAAAAAAGGTTGGCTTAGCTTGGAAACAGCTGCTTATCAAATACAGGGTGTTCAATATTTACGGCGACTTCTTTTTGGTAGATTCGCTCTCAAGTTCAACCCCAATATATTAAGTGTTATATAAAATCTTGAAGCCCTTAAGCTTGGCTAGATTTATCTCTTAAAAGTTTCCCAATTGGAGTTATACAATTCATTTTACAAGCCCTTGAATGAGTACTAGTTGATCTCCTGAGCACGCTGCCATTTTCCATATTCAAGAGCTTGTAAAATGAGTTGTATATCTCCAATTGGGAAACTTTTAAGAGATAAATCTAGCCAAGATTAAGACCTTCAACATTTTATATATCGTATTCTCTCTAATAGTAGTGCACCCTGAACGTCGCCTAAATTCCTCGAAATCTCGAAAAGCGCTTATCAAAACCTATTAATGTGGGGTCGGAAAATGTAGCTGACGATCAGATCTTGTGGGGGATTTGAGTGTTGAGCTTCTGCAAAAGCTTCGAAACCGTAAAATAGTCATCAACTCGGCTGGGTGCACTACTATTAGAGAGAATACGGCAACACCAAACACATTAGGGTTAAACTTGATGCTTGGGAGCTAATCTACTAAATCGTAAATACTGAACACTAATTAAGAAAGCAGTAGTTAGGTCAAAATTTCACATTTCAGTAATCTGTGACTTGAGCGTTTGTCTTGTGGAGCTTCTGATCAAAGAGCCATCACAATGGGGTCTCGTTTTCTCATATCTCCTCCCACTGACCCCAATCTTCGCCAAAATCTCCTTTATCTCTTTATTCACGCTCACTTGTGGGACAGCAGTTTGGAATTTTCTATTGGCTCTATCGAGGATTTTCATGTTGATCACAAAACAAAAGTTTAAATTGGTAAGTAAGCATAAGCTTCAAAAGTTCACTGTCTATTCGGTAATCTACCGTTAATTTACTTCAAAAAGTATCCCTAGAATACTTTGAAATCTTTAATTTTCTTTACAATCTGTTCTTTCATCAAAACCCTCTTTATTTGTCTCGTTTTTATTCAAAAACTTTCCCAATCATTCCACTTTTTTCCCTAATCACAAAGTCCTCTGGGGAAATTCGTCTAACGGAAGTTTTATCACAATTTTTTTGAAAGGTCAAAACGAAATCTTCCAACTTCTAATTCCACAGAATTTTCGTGAAAAAGAAAAAAGTTTTGTTTAGTTTAAAACCTAATTTTGCACATTTCTAAATTCAAAACACGTGATTTCCCTACAAATGAGTCATTAAACAAATGAGTCAGTCATCTACAAATGAGTCAGTCATCTACAAATGAGTCAGTCATCTACAAATGAGTCAGTCATCTACAAATGAGTCAGTCATCTACAAATGAGTCAGTCATCTACAAATGAGTCAGTCATTTATTCTCACATCAAAGTTTATCAATTCTCAAATTGAGATCTGGAACGAAAAAGTGACGTATCTGTTTGTGGCGGCGACGTGGGCATGGAAAGCCGGCATTGCTGCGTATATCGTCTTTGGATGTCCCACTCAACATTATCTGGAACCGAATAATTATTCGATTAGGTAAACGGCTTTTGAAATAGTTTCCAAAAAAAAGGAATTAAGATCGGTAAAACTTGAATTACTTGTGCACTTTTTCGAAAACTCTGATAGCCGCCGAAAAGCGTGTTACCGTAACCCAGAGCTATAGTCGTAAAGATTATGTTAACATCAAATAACTACCGTAAATATTGTAATAGTACCCCCTGTAATGACGGTGCAAAGTGTTAGGTAGCTCTTGCTTTGTTTGATTTTCTCGACATTTCTTCAAGCTACAATGTGCGCTTAGCTATCAACTGAAATTGTGAAATTCAACTATTGAAAACGATTTACTACTACTTATTCTCATTCTCACAAATAATCTGATACAAACAATACACAAACAGGCAAAAAAGCCAACGCCGGGATCGAACCCTTGCCTCCCCTAGAGACCTCCCGACCAAGAGATGGGACTCTTAACCACTCGGCCATGACTGCCATGTTGAGCAAAGAAATGTTTTCAGTTATCAAACTGTGGAAGCAGACATCTTTCTCCTCACATATGCCACGCAGATTGTCCCAATCTTTGTCATCACCTCAATCGGCATCTATCTCTTTTTCTTTATTCTCTTAACTATTCAAAATTTGGTCTCGAAAAATGCTACACTAAAAGCGCGAGTCGTTCGCACAGTCGTCGCCGCAATGCTGCAAAATTTTGGTGAGCCTTGTGATATTGTGATAAATTGTGATAAACAATTTAACGGCGATTTCCAGCTGCTCTGATTTCCTCCTTTCCCAGTTTATACGAAACAATTCGCTACGAATTCCCATCATTTCACATGCAATCCATCGATTTACCAACTTATCTATTTTGTTTGAAAGTTGGTACAAATCTTTATGCAACATCTTCCGCATGGATCATGGTGATTTGTGTGCAAGAAGTGGGTTTTGAAATTTCTTGCACGAAATTTCTTGCCAAATTCGAATTTTCTTCTAAAAGCTAAATGATATTAGGTTAGCCGATAGGTTTTTGGAAATATCATTCGAAAAGGTAATTAGAAATAATAAATTCACCTATTGGTACGGTTTATTCTATTAGAAAAGCCTAATATCTTTTTCTAAAAGATCAGATGAAAGATCATTAAAATCTTGAGAAATGATTTGTTTCTGGTTTCTTTTTTATTCGGAGGTGTAAACTTAGCCAGTCAAAAAAAGGGCGTTTGGTCCAAAGAAAACAATTTTTTGTGTCAATAGAAAAGAAAGCGCGCAAGAAGTTCGGTTTATAGCCAAATTTTCAGAAGAATCTGTTTAGCCAATTCCTTTATATCATCTTTTATCGAATTTTATGCAAAACGAGTTTTTGTGTTCGGATTTTCTTGGAAATGGGCTCAGATTGGTGTAAAAAGATCGAAAAGTGTCGAATAAACAGCTCGTAGAATAAACAGCTCGAAAAGTGTAGAATAAACAGCTTCTATTTGAAGCAAATCGTAGTTTAATTGATGAAATTTTCATTTCTAAATTTCTAAATAGATTTCTAAAAGATTTCAAAGACTTATCGGCTAATCTAATAGTTTCTGAATTTGAAAATATATTACACAAATCATTTCTTTTATTTAGTACCGCACAGCTGTAATTGATCTGATTTTAAGACGAGATTCAAAAAGAAAGAACAACACAACATTGACAGCAATCAGGACGAGAAGATCGCTCACTTTGAGTAGAATTCGGGAAACGAATGGAATCACAAGTATTGCCTGAGTACTCATTTAATAAAAAGTTTTACAATTTGAGGAAAAGTTTGAATTTTTTATTCGGCTATGATACTTTATGCAATATACTAGACTTCGGAAAACAAAACTTAACCAAAACCAAAACCACCAAAACCAAAACAGACCAAAACTCGCCAATATCTCGCGATTGGGAGGAGCTAGCGAAAATATCTGTTTGCAGATTTGAAATCAGCGTCCAAAAATCTGTCCCATAGGCTATTTTTTGTTTCGAAATTTCGAGATCGTGTTTTGGTCCTTTTTTTGGCCGCGAGATTTTGTGCAGCGAGAAAAAGTGAAAGGCAAATTTGCATTTTACATTAAAATTTGCATTTTACAATTTTAAATTTACATGTTAATTTATATGCAAATTGAGTTTTGGTTTGTTTTGGTTTTGGTCTGTTTTGGTTTTGGTTTTGTTTGCCGAACTCTACAATATACAATGTACAATAATTCTCTATAACATCAAAAAAATAAGCTTTCTTGCCATTTTTAGGGTGAATAAAGAAAGTACCGTATTTCTTCGAATAGAAGACCGGGCAAAGAGTATGATCGCGTACTCCTGCGTAGCAGCCCTATTTAAAGTTTCTTTTCTGCATAAAAGCTTTCAATGAAGTGCTATAGGGCTGGAAAATGACTCAAAAATACCACATGAGCTAACAGATTTTTGAGCCATTTTCCAGCTCTATAGCACTTGATTGAAAGCTTTTATGCAGAAAAGAAATTTTAAAAAGGGCTGCTACGCAGGAGTACGCGATGATATCCGAACCATATTGAAACCATATTGAAACCATATTGGAACCGTGTCCGAACCATATCGGAACCATATTGGAACTCTTTACCTGGTCTTCTATTCGAAGAAATACGGTATTTTGAGCTAAACATAGCACAAACGTTTCTCTACTCAATCGTTTCGAATCTCTCTAAAAGAAAACAAAGTCGACTCCTTTGTGTGTACAGTCCAACAGTCAGTCTTCTTCTTTTCTCTTTTCCTACGTCAAATGTCCTTCCCCATTTTCCCTTTTCATGCACAGCTCTTTTTTCTTTCTCTTTCTCTTTTTTTTTTCTTTTCTATTCACATTTCATCGATTTATTCTCTGCTCAACCTGAAAGAAAATGCGAAAATTGGCAACAATCTGTGCTTTTTTCACGAAATCCATCCGGTTTTTAGCAATCTATTCTATGAAATTTTGATCATTCACTTCAAATTTTGCGCCAAACCATTCACTGAAAACTTTAAGGATTCTTTTTCTTTAAAGTTTCTGTTTTAAAAGCAAAAGTTGAGTCAATCGACGCCACCATATATTTGAGTGAATCAACGAGTTTTTCTCCTTCACTTTGCTCACTTTTTGAGGGTTTATTTGCACAAATGAGGTGTGGCTTTAAATAATTGAAAGTGGGTTTGCAAAAAAGAGAACTTTCGAATGAAAGTGACCAGCTGGTTGATGGGAAAAGGAGTTCCCATTTTTCGATTTGTTTTAACCTTTTAAAGTTGAAACTTTTAGACTTTTTAACTTATCCAATTGTCTAAATATTGCAGATGCAGATGCTGACAGTTTCGATAATCCTTTATCTAGTAAACTAATAAGTAAACAGACAGATTTTGGTTTATCAAGTAACTTGGGGGTGGGACAAATGTGACCTTTTTTTTGCGCACCTGGACATTTGCGCACCTTTTTTTTGCTGGAAAAGGCCTTAGGAAAGGCCGTCGAGCTTCAAGAAATGTTTTCACAGAAGTGAATCGTATGCGTAGATTCCGAATTTCGACAAATCAGACCTCGCTGACACGTCAAATTTGGGCTAAATGGCAAAAACTGCGGAAAAGCGTTAAGTTGCGTAGTTTTTGCCATTTAGCCCAAATTTGACGTGTCAGCGAGGTGTGATTTGTCAAAATTCTGAATCTACGCATACGATTCCCTTCTATGAAGCTCTATGACCTTTCCTAAGGCCTTTTCCAGCAAAAAAAAAGGTGCGCAAATGTCCAGGTGCGCAAAAAAAAGGTCGCATTTGTCCCACCCCCAGTAACTTAAAAGAAGCTCAAGCATTTCCTTTACAAAAGAAAACTACTTTAAAAGTTGACTTTTGGTTTAAAAAGAAAAATAAGCTAGTGTTTTTTTTTGATTTAAAGTAAGTAAAGTAATGGCTAGATCAAAAAGAAAACTGTTTTTTATGGGATTTTCTTTTATTCATCCTGAACTTTGTTTCAAAATTTGATTCAAAAATAGAACAATTTTAAAATGTTTAGAAGATTTTGAAAGAAATCTTTCCCCCAATTGACTGAATGCCATGAAATTGAATACTTTTTCTTTTCAATTCTTCTTCCCCATCTTTTTTGAGTATTCTCAGTCTTTCATTGGATTAACCCGGCTTTTCTCGTTCTTCCTTTTTTTTTTTGAAGAGATCCAGTTTGGGTCATAAAAAAAGGATTCCTTTTTTGAGCGCTAAAGATTTGAAGGATCATAATCGCTTGATCGAAATCGAAATCTTAACATTCTCAAATTGTTCTATTCATTTTACTAATCGATATTTCATTGATCGATTCCGATTCTTCGCAAAAATGACTCTCGATTTGAACGCGTTACCGTGTAGGTTTTTACAATTACAATAAAATAACATTTATTTATATAAAATAACAATTTACAATAAAATTAACATTTAAAAAAACTTACTCAACTTAGTGATAAATAGAAATCACAGAGCTTAATAGCTTCTTCATCTTCAATTCTTTAAAAAGAATTGCTGAAATAAGCTCAAACTATAGCCGAACAATGGACGATTTCTTGTACTTTTTTGCTCGCTTTAACACACGCCTTCTGGCGCATCAAATGCCTCAACAATAAGCCAACAATAATAAGCCTTCACTTTTATCAACAGATAAAAAACTGAACTTTTTTTTCTGATTTTTATCTTTTCTGAACAGAAAATGAAGGAAAGATTCGCTGAATTCGCTAAGATTTTAAAATTTGCGTAGATTGAAGAATTCGATTGAAGTCAACTTTTAAAGTAGTTTTCTTTTGTAAAAGTAATGCTTGAGCTTCTTTTAAGTTACTTGATAAACTAAAATCTGTCTGTTTACTTATCGGTTTACTAGATAAAGGATTATCGAAACTGTCAGCACCTGCACCTGCAATTTTTTGACAATTGGAAAAGGCCTTGGAAAAGTCTAAGAGCTTCAACTTTAAAAGGGTAAAATCTTAGCGTTGATGCAAAACTTTTACAAATTTTCGTACTTCCGCTAAAAAGTAACAAATGCACCAATTGAACAACGGCTTATTGCATTCGAAAGGCCAATTATTTTCTGCGAAAATGACATTAAAACGAGTTTAAAATGTCTTATGTCGAGATTTTTTTGAGAGCCTGAAGTCGGGTAGTCCAAAAAGGCGACGGCTCGATGAAGCATTTTAGACGCTTTTGCTAAGGAAACCAATCTTGATGTTAATAAATAAAAGGTAGAGCACAAAAAAGTTAGATATTTTTTCAGATTTTCAGAGAAATTGATTAAGCCAAAATCTTTATAGGTTTATTATCAGTTTTTTATGAAAAACCCGTTTTGAAACTGTCAGAATCTGCATCTGCAATATTTAGACCAAATTGGCTTAAAAAGATGGGAAAGTCAACATAAAAGTTTTCAACTTTAGGCAAACCTTAAGCTTTTTTCAAAGAAGTACGAAAAATGAAGCTTTTGCTCCCTAACAAATCGAAAAATGGGAACTCTTTTTCCCATCAACCAGCTGGTCACTTTCATTCGAAAGTTCTCTTTTTTGCAAACCCACTTTCAATTATTTAAAGCCACACCTCATTTGTGCAAATAAACCCTCGAAAAGTGAGCAAAGTGAAGGAGAAAAACTCGTTGATTCACTCAAATATATGGTCGATTCGATTGACTCAACTTTTACTTTTAAAACAGAAACTTTCAAGAAAAAGCATTTAGAGCATTTGTCCCACCCCCAAGTTACTTGATAAACCAAAATCTGTCTGTTTACTTATTAGTTTACTAGATAAAGGATTATCGAAACTGTCAGCATCTGCATCTGCAATATTTAGACAATTGGATAAGTTAAAAAGTCTAAAAGTTTTAACTTTAAAAGCTTAAAATAAATCGAAAAATGGGAACTCTTTTTCCCATCAACCAGCTGGGCACTTTCATTCGAAAGTTCTCTTTTTTCAAATCCATTTTCATTATTTAAAGCACTATTATTTAAAGGAAATGAAGCAAAGATTCGCTGAATTCGCTAAGAACTTCAAATTTGCGTAGATTGAAGAATTCGAACGCATAAAATCTCAAGAATCAAGCCAAGAATTTCCCCTTTCTTTTGCCCGTTTAATGCATCATTTCAGATCCAACTTATCACCCTTTTTTCTTGGCACTTTTTCTGTTCACAGAATTCTGTGGTTACAATAATTTTTCCAGCAAACTTGCACGCAATTTCTGCACAATTTAATGTTTAAATCATTTATTTTTCAATTCCAGAACTCCTTCACATAATTCCCAAACGGAAAATGACGCACTTCTATAGAGAATTTTGTTTCCTTATCTTTTTTTCAAAAAAAATTAATTACCATTCAAAGAATTTTCAGAAAAATTGAGGAAATTAAATGAAAAATTAATTTTATTACTTGATGGGTAGATAAATCTTCGAGTTCGCCAATGGAAATTTCCATTTGGGAGCTGAATTTTAATCTACTATATTGTGTGCTGTGACAGTTTGCTCACCAGTTTGCTCACTGGTTTGTTCCACAATGAATTCTTCTTCCGCAACACTAAAGTCCTGTGCTCTCACTCAGAAATGAAACAAGAGAAATTGACGATTACTGTAAAAACTCTAATAGAAGACCGCTTCACAAAATCTTGAGTTTTTTCAACATTTTAAAGCTAAATTTGTAGATAGGGACCCGAATTGGAGAGTTAAAAATGTGATTTTTTTTTTTAAAATTTGAAATCGTAAGGGACCATGTTTATTTTTTTTGAAAGATCGTCCAGTGGGTCAA